ATAAACATATTATTTGAAAATCATCTGAGTAAATTATATTTTAACTTTATATAGTTATTTCACTGTTTTTGTTAAGTGTGTGGAATGATTCTGCATTCATGATAAAACTTCTATTTCTCCAGTGCACCTGAGACTTTTGATATTTATGTCAAATATTTTTCTTTACCCAAATTTATTATTTATCTCTGTGGGGTATTTATTTTCACTGCCAAGATACAAATTCATCAGAACCTCCACAATATTTCTACTACTGGGACCATAAGTTGATATTAAGTGAAATGTTTGCTTTTAGACAAGTTGTAGTAGCTATAAGTAAGCAGAACATGCCTGAACAGTATGCTTGTTTAGATTATAATTGTTTTGCATTCTATCCCAGACAACTAAGATTAGACAACACTATTAGGAGAAGTTATAATCATAAATAGGTTCCAAAAGCTTGTATTTATATGTGTGAAATGTTATTCCATTACACATTATTGAATTACTATATTTTCTGATATACTGTACATGGACCCTTGGTATTTTCTCAAAAAAATAATCTAATTTGATAACTCTTTAGAATTACCAAAAGACAGTTTTGATGTGTACTATGGAGATCAGACAAGCACAAAAAATCACCAAAATAAGTCAAATGTTGTCTTAACGTTGAAGTTAGTACATAAATAGCAAATGTGTGTATGACTTCATTTTGTTACATGTGTATTGACGTTTGTGTGGTTCACTATGTGAAGAATTATATGGTTAAGTCTGAATACCAGAATTTGTATTCCATCAATGTCTTTTTAAATTTAAGATTAAATTTGTTACATAAATAGAAAGAATATTGTATGTTGAGTCCAAAAACGTGGGTTTCTTTAGATCTCTGTGAGTTTTAGTTTCCTCTCTGAGATTACTAATTAATTGCTTCATAGTATTGAAGATTACATAAATGATTTGAAATATTTATAATGAATTCTATACATGTAAGTAATAGCCTGTTAGTTAAAACTTGCTTACCTTAGTTTACGCATTTACCTCAGCTTAAATGTTCACCTTATATTTATATTTGGTTAGCATATCAACTTTGTAACTACTCAACAGGTACATAAGATTCTTCTTAACTATCATTTTATGTTTAAATTAGCTAATTATGAAACATGCTATTTTAAAAAATTTCAATTGGCAGCATCATTGAATGATTGGACAAGTAATTAAAAAGAAATTGCTCTCCTTATTGCTTTATGGTGTACTTCATACAAATGGTATTTTTCCACTGCTTTCTTGACCTTGAAAATTGCTTATATTCTTTTATATAAGAAAATATTTATTTACAATTTTAAAATGCATGCTTTATTTGTACGAGTAGGGTTTGATCATGCTAAGCTTGCAAATATCTCCTATAAGATATTACAAATAAAAAACAAAGTAGAAAACCATTTAGAAAAAAAACCTTACCTTTGGCATTTATTGCGCACATTCATAATTATGAGAATGCAGGTCATAAATAAATGGTCCACTTTCATTTTATAGTTAGGGTTTTAAAATTTTCATCTTGTCAAATGAAAAATAATTAATAGAAAATGGGAAAGTACTGTAATTTTTGTATTCGTCATGAATAACAGGTATTTGGTATAGTAGCTCAGTAGTAAATTATTAGAAGAACCAAATTGTGAAATAATATCATATAATGGGTCAAAATTATTTATATAGTTACCAGTATAAGAATCAAGCATGTGGGTTCTTATTAATATACCATTAGCCTGGTCACACAATGAAAGAGAATGAAAGGGCAATTTTGAATGACATTTCTATCAACTTGGGAACTGTCAACCTCTATTATGTCCTTGGGGCTTTGCACTTTTTGGCTTTCAGACATCTGTGCTGCCCTGAATGGAGGAGAATATTAAGAGTTCCAGTGGGTCTCTTGCTCTAATAAATGCTTTGGGTAGTCATTTTTCAGAACATGCACATAATAGTTCTTAGTACTTACAGCTAAGCCTATGACATTTCATATGCTTCCTATCATCAGCACCTACATCTGCATCATCTTCGTCAAGACCCTCATTCCTCCTACACACATACTCATGCTCTATTTCCTCTTGCTCATAAATCTCTTCTGTTGCAACTCTGGGAATATATTCCTTCCTCTTTTTTTTTTTTTTCTGCACTGTCAAGTGAAACAACCACCTTAATTTCTCCAAGCATCCCCTCAAAAACTTTTGCAAGAGTTGTAAATACTGCCCCGGGAAGTTTTCAGGCTGTCATAACAAAAGCTGGTAGCTTCACACAGAAAGTAGTAAGTAGGTACATTTTATAGAGGAAGAAGTGTTTAGAATATTTATGGCTGCATGGGTAACAGTCACTAAAGCACCTATCTGACAGGACATTCAGGCTGAATTAATGAGAAGAGAATCTGGATTCTAATCTTGATTGGTCTACTGAATGTCAGTAGCATTTAGTTTATTATGCGTATGAATGTTTTCATTTATTATTAGTAGTAGTATATGTTATCCTTTGATAAAATTTTAAAGATTGGGATTACTATATATTTTGTTAATGTTACATCGTTACATTGAGGAAGCTTTTAAAAGGGTTTTGAAGGGGCGCCTGGGTGGCGCAGTCGGTTAAGCGTCCGACTTCAGCCAGGTCACGATCTCGCACTCCGTGAGTTCGAGCCCCGCGTCGGGCTCTGGGCTGATGGCTCAGAGCCTGGAGCCTGTTTCCGATTCTGTGTCTCCCTCTCTCTCTGCCCCTCCCCCGTTCATGCTCTGTCTCTCTCTGTCCCCAAAATAAATAAACGTTGAAAAAGAAAATTAAAAAAAAAAAAAAAGGGTTTTGAAGCTTAATAATTTTTTTCAAAAATTACCTCCCTTTGTGTTGTATATGGTGGTGGCTTTCACATGTTAGTGTGCATCACAATCATCTGGGATTGCTCACTTTTTTTTTTAAGTTTTGATTTTGATTTTGATTTTTGAGAGTGAGAGAGAGATCAGCATGAGTGGGGGAAGGGCAGAGAGAGGGGCACAGAGGATCCAAAGTGGGCGCTGCGCAGATAGCAGAGAACCCAAATTGGGCTTCAACTCATGAACTGTGAGATTGTGACATGAGCCAAAGGCAGACGCTTCACTGACTGAGGCACCCAGGCGCCCCTGGGAATGCTTGTTAAAATACACGTTGCTAGAACCCACCTCCAAAGTTTCCAAAAGAGAGAATTTGCTTTTCTAATAATGCCCCAGGTGGTGTTGATGGTACTGATCCAAGTATCATATTTGCAAACTATTCATCCATACTGTCGGTATAGAGAAAAAGGACGCAATACTTCTGGGTTTCTGTCAACCTATATAAGGTTGACAACGTCCTATATAAGGATTATGGCTCACCAGCTCAACTGAATGTTCCAGATTGAAAGATCTAGGCATAATTTTGCCCCTGCTGTTTTAAAAATGCTAAAGTAAATTTTTCTTAATTATATAGTGAACCAGTCATGGAATTAGTTTACCTTACTTCCTTCCAAGAAGGAAGTATAAATTCAGTATAATGGTCGTCAACTTATTACACATCTAATGTGATCACAGATTGCCATTTGAATTCTAATAGATTTTCAGATAATTCTTCTTTTTTGCTGAAAGAGAAAACAGAATTTTTTAAAAAATGTTAGAGTAATTTTTCCTAGTTTTTCTTGAGTTTCCTAAGTGCAGCTAACCATGGAATTTAATAACAATAAGCCAGTTAAAAATATAAACTTTAGATAGACATCATATACCATTTTACCATTTTTATAAAGTGATTTGTTTCAATGGTTTTTGGTGTATATATATATGTATACATATATACATATGATTTTGTACACAGTAATATTTATTTTCATGCCATAAAATGGCACCATTTGATTCTAAGAAAGATAGATATTTATTTTCTTAACTCATGAAGGTAGAACAGTAGCTAAGTAGAAGCTAAATTTTTATTCTACAAGAAAAATGTAACATTGTAGATATGGTTATCAATAAAATATAAACATATAACATGATGTTTTAATTTTAGAGCACAAAAAGGAATAAATTTTTCAGTCTGTGATCAGAAAAGTGATGTAATATCATCTGATTCTTGTGAATGATGTGGTAGAAATTTTAATGATAATTGTATACATAAATTTTATGTATGAAATTACACAAGGACTAATATAGAAAGGTATAAAATAGAATGTAAACTATGTAAACTTGACCTATTCAAGTAGTGAACAACTGGAAATCACCATATATGCTGAATTAGCCACATAAAGGTCCCCATACCACAATGTATTGATTGTGGTATACGTTGCAAAGAAAATCTGGACAACAAATCTAATTTAAAAACGTAAAGTGGTTAGAACAGTGTTGCATATGAATAAATAGTACATATTGGTATAATGTTAGTTATGTTTAATTTCACTTTTAGATCAAATCCAAACTGTTTCTGTGAAAACTAGGAGAAAAGATTATTTTCTAAGAAAGTTAGAAAGTTTCTTTCTTTTTTGTATTCAATTTGGAGAGTAGTTCTGATCAGACTACATACCATTTAACTCCTCCATCATGGATGTTCCAGGATCTCTGCCGAAGCACCAAGCTATAAGGGTGCTTGGGACTCAACCCCTGTTCTTCGGAGGTTGAGGAAAGCTTATCTACATCATAATTGTACATGAATTATGCATGGTCTCTCAATAAAAATGAATAGTACAAGGAATAGCTTTTTAAGAGTATTTCTTACAGGTGACATCAGTTATATACTCTCTGGATAGTTGAGTACCTGTGTACTTTCTCAAGAAAGTATAAATTTGTACTTTATACGAAAGGTTTTTCATAATATGTAGTTGGAAGTGACATTGTTGACAGCTAACCAAACACTGTGATGTTCAGGTTGAATGTTAAGATCACTAATTGGTAGAGTAATTGGATGGGAAATGACAGGCTGTATACCTGTGTTTTTCTAGGCATTTTTTGATCAGCCTTTCCTTATCACAGCTCATGTTCTAATGATCATTGCAGGATGAAGTGGCACAGCCACTGAACCTATCAGCTAAACCCAAGACCTCTGATGGCAAATCACCCACATCACCCACCTCTCCCCATATGCCAGCTCTGAGAATAAACAGTGGGGCAGGCCCCCTCAAAGCCTCTGTCCCAGCAGCATTAGCTAGTCCTTCAGCCAGAGTTAGCACAATAGGTAAGTTCCGTTTCTTTTGTTCTTGCTGATTTTCTGTTTATGGCAATTGAATGAAATCATCTTTTAATGGCGAATCACGCATACCCTGTGCATGGTTTTAGTTCCATAGGAGAGTTTCCATTTGATGAACCTCATAGGTCTGTTTTAAACATGCAAATGAAATTTATAACTGAAGTCCAAGTTACAATGTCCCCCTGAAAAGCTAATGGAACTGGTTATGTTTGTTGATGTAACAGATGTTCTTAAGCTTTAAAAAAAAAAAAAAAAGAGGCCTAAGTGACTTAATCACAGAAAGCAATGTTTCCAGAATGTTGTTGTTAGGTGACTTGCCTTTTCCATCACTGAAATATGTTTCCATTTTTTTTGTGATGTGTACAAACTGTACATAATGATGAAATACATTCCACTTAGATCAGCAGTCACCCATCAGGATATGACGTTTGTTCATTTCCATACTGCTTGAGTATTATTTGAACATACCAAAGTATTATAAAAAGTAGAGAGCTTCATTTCTCCATAATTGGCATTTTGGTAGAGTAATAAGTAAATACTAAAAACTGCTTCTATAAGCTGACTTTAAAAATTCCAATAATTTTTACTATAGTAACACATAAATTAGACTGTATATACTTACTTCAATCCACATTTATTGATGTTTATCATTTGCATACAGTTATAAGGAGAGTAGTACAGACAAGCCTTCAAGGAGCTCAGGGTTTTTAAATTTTATTTTACTTATTTATTTTAATATTTATTTTTGAGAGAGAGAAACACAGAGCATGAGTGGGGGAGGGGCAGAGAGCAAGAGGGAGACACAGAATCCGAAGCAGGCTCCAGGCTCTGTCAGCACAGAGCCCAACACGGAGCTTGAACTCACAGACCATGAGATCATGACCTGAGCCGAAGTCAGACGTTCAACTGATTGAGCCACTCAGGCGCCCCAGAGGAGCTTAGGGTTTAATTAAGGGAAAAGTCATCCATGTCATAACCATAGAGAGTGCTATTTGAGAACATAGATACAACTTTGTAATCAACGAGGAGTATTGGATTCTATCTGGGAAGGATCAAGGAAGGCTAAGTTGGGAATAGCCTAATTCAAGTGGAGTCTTGAGGAAGAGAGATATCTGTAGACATTTTAGCTTTTAAGAGAAAACCCAGAGTAAAATAGCATATTTTTGAGAAATGCACTGATTTGGCGAGAGTATGGAATGAGTGTGTAGTGGAAAGTGATCAGGGCTAAAACCGAAAAGAGCAGATGGAATCTGACTGAATGCTATCCTAAGAAATTTGACTTTTTCTCCAGACAGCAATCTGATCAGAACTTTAAGAAAGAAGAGTATTGGCATCAGGAAGAGACTGGAATCAGGGAACCCATTGCTTTAGTGCGGGACAAGAGTTAGTTAGTTCCATGAAATAAAAATAAGCAATGATAAAACAAAGGAGAGAATAGATTGAGGAGATATTAGTAAAGAAGAATTGATATAACTTACCCTTAATAGAAAGTACCTGGTGAGGTTCAGGTTGAAGACAGAGGAGTCTAGGATTTTTAATTCATAAAGTAAGAATGATAATACCACCCTTAACCATGAAAGAGAAGACTAGAGTGGAAGCTGATGAAGGGGAAGATATAAATATAAAAATTTCCTAAGTGTTAAAAGACAAGGAGCCATTTAGGTATACATATTCAGGAGGAAACTATAAATATTTCTGATATGTGAAGTGGTGCTAGCATTTTAGATGTAGAATTATATATGGTATAAGGGGATTAAGAGTACACTTATGACAACGAGCACAGCGTAATGTATAGAGTTACTAAATCATTATATTGAAACCAAGCACAGAATTATTAAATTACTGTATTGAAACTAATGTATTATAGCTATACTGGGATTAAAATAACAAAATAAAATGAAAGCACTAATTTGAAAAGAAGTTGTTCACCAACAAAGAGTGTATATAGTTAAAAGAGAAATGGGCTAAAGAATCCTAGGTATCACCTACTGTATTAGTTATCTATTACTGAATACCAAATTAACCCAAAACTCAGCAGCTTAACATAACCAACATGCATTATCTCACAGGTTCTAGGGGTCAGAATTTGGAAGCAACTTAGCTCAGTGGTTCTGGGTTAAGGCCTCATGGTTGCAGTCAAGATGTTAGGCAGGGCAGCAATCATCTATATGGGCTTTACTAGGGATAGATGCTCCTTTGTCAAGATGTCTGACTCACATGGTTGTTAGCTGGTAGGTACGTTCTCTACCTTGTTGAGTCTTTTCAAAGGGCTGCTCATCGCATGGAAACCAACTTTCCCCAGTGTGGGTGATGGAGAGCAAAGAGAAAGCCATAGTGCCTTTTATAAACCTAGTCTTGAAAGTCACACACCGTCCAGTCTATTTTATTCTTTTCACTATAGGAGAATCACAAATGCAGCCCAACTCAAGGGAAACGGTATTAAGGTCCAGCTCTGAAGGAAGCAATATCAAAGTATTGTTGGACACATTGTAAAACCATCATTCTTCTTTAGGGGGAAAACTGATAAAGAGCAAGTGAATGTCTTAGAATAAGAATAAAGATAGGAAAATGCTAGCCTAGGAAAAATGAAAGTTTCAGAAAGGAGGGGTATTTAATGGTCACCCATTTGGCAGAAAAGTTAAAAAAAACACATGAAAAAGAAAAGCCCTATGATTTAGCTAGAGCTCATGGAGAGGTAAACTCTAATGGAGAAGCTTTTGGAGAATGCCTTAGGAGAATTTCAATTACAATGATTTGAAAGACAATGAGGAAAGAAAATGCAGTTGATATATAGACCAGTCTTTTTGTAAGCTTGGCATTGAGAAGTGAATATTTTAAGAAGAATGAGTAGAGACAGGTTTTAAAATGGGACAGTCGTTCATATATATATATGACAATATATATATAAAGTCAAGGGGAAGAAGAGTCAGAGAGAGATAAAGATATGAAAGAGAACACGGATGATGATGGAAGAGATCATGAGATAGGATTAACCTTGGAAAGGAGCAAAGCCCTTCCTTTATCTGAGACTGAACGAAACGAAGGAAAAAAGGGAAAGTTACAGAGAAGTTGTGGGATGGACAGAAAGAAGGCTGAAGGAATACATTTCAAATGCTTCAATTTCCACAAAGTAGAATTCCTGATTATTTGCCAAGAGGAAGCCAGTCTGGGGCAGTGGGGCAGCAGTGACAAGAGAAACTATGAAAACTTTAATTTTGAGAGTTTAAAAAAGGTTTGGGGTTCACATGTGCTTTTTATCATTATGAACCATTCTGTTATGGTTTAACTCAGTTACTCTGCTCAACATCTTAAATGGACTCCAAGATAAGGTTTGCTTTCATGTCCTAAGTATGTAAGAGAAAAAATATTTTATTTGGCAGGAATGATTCACTTCCATAATAGACACGATGCTTGTAAATATCACAACGCTGGTCTATGATCTACTTTTGTAATGTTGCTAGAAGTAGAATATTTAACTAACAAAATAACTAATAGATTTGCATTTTTATCATGTAAGGAATTTTTTTTTTTTTACTTCAGCATTCCAGGGATTAAGTGTGACCAAAAAAAGGCAAGAATGTATTCAATGACATTTATCATTTGACTTTCTCCACTACTAAAACTTCTCTTACTTTTTTTCCCTTAAAAATCCTTTCACCACGTACACATCTCTCATATTTTCCAAGAATTTGAGGCCACTGCGATTTACTTTTCTCTTTTCAGCAAATGCAGATGTTGAAAGCTGAACTGTAATGAGTAATAATGTCATTGGATAAAAGCTGTGAGCATTAACAGTGTTGTAAAGGTCACCCCTGAAAGAAGAATTAATGTATGATGCCATTAATAAACCAAGGAAAACTGTGAACTAAAAGTAACTTAAGTTACCGTTAATGACATGGGCTCTTTGCTATATATCTATTAGCTTCAAATAGAGAAAGTGAGTTTTTGAGGTTGGAAACCAATCTTATAGTGTACTCTGTAAGAACACCTTTGGTATGGTACACGAAGGATAGGTTGCTCCAAAAGAAAGGGGATCCTTAAAAGGTATGAATAGGTCAGAGGAATGATGGATAAGTTTAGAATCTTGTGACCAAATATTATCTTTCTTCTATTGGCCTTTTTCACCTATGTTGTACATATGTATAATACTTCTAACATTTTTCAAGGCATTTTAATCTATTTCTCACTTATGCTGATTTTAGAATTATAGACCCTTAAACAGATAGAGCAGATATCCATATCATCTAGTCAAAACTTGTTATTTTACAGATAAAGAACCAGCGCTTATGGAGGCTAAGTGCTTACCCAGGAATTCTAAGTGAGTTCCTGTCACAGTGTAGACAGTTCTGTGACCCTGTGTTTATTTCTTCCATTTTAATTTCAAGGAAACAACTGTACATGAAGACCAAGTAATGTGCCCAAACTCACAGCCAGTGGAGGTCAGGGCCATAGGATCATGGTCTCTGGCTGGCTTGCTCTCTTTTCAGCCTATGGATAGCCTTTCCGCATTAGATGCTCTTCTCACTCCTTTCTCTGTCCTCTCATCCAATAAATGGAAATCAAATATCTTCTCTATGTGATATGATTGGCAGGATGATGAGCAGATGGAAGTCTGAGAGGCTTTAGATGCCTACAGTCTTGTTCTTTAAGTCTTTGGAAGATATTAGGATGTTTTAGTCTTACCCTTTATTCCTCAGAGGCATTAACACTTGAAAAGTAAAACTTCACTGAGCAAAAGTAGTAGACTCACATTGAGTCAATAAGATGAAGAGAAATGTTTTCAAGTTCGAAGGAGGACATTACCTTGAAATTTCAGTAGTTTACAATTTTAATGAGAAAAACTGCTATGAGGGTAGGTTATTAAACAAAAATATTATAATAGTTTAATTGAAAGCCATTGGATTTTTAGGAAGTTGAGGGTATTATTCAACATCTGGCAATTAACATTTGCATAACACTTTACAATTTACAAATTGCTTTCACATTTA